AGCCAGAGAGACTATTTTGCAAGTTCTTGCCAGATATAAGTCATTGTGTAAAGCTGGTAACAAGCGTTTCTCCGAGCATGTGGAAAATTGACTTTCATGCCATCCTAAAGGTGACTTTATGCTGGCAAATGAGAACTCTTATTTTGCATGCACTGAGCTGCACCAAGCAGTCTTAAGCAATGCTTTAAGACCCACAAAGAGGACAGCAAAAATAACAGACTCTAAACAGCTTGCAGCAAATCCAGCAGCAAAAAAAGCCAGCCATATACACAGCCTGGTCCTCCAAATACCTACACCTGCCGTAAAAGTTAAAGATGAAGCTAAAGACAAGCACAGTTGGGTTTTTCCTTTTAAGTTTTCATTTGACTGGAGTTAAAAAGTAAGACTCCAAGCTGGTAGCAAGAAGTAGAGCCAAGCATTGTGCAGGCAGACGGCGGGCAAGCTTCGGCAATGTGGTTCTGCCAACACACCTGCAACCCTTGCTGTTCCAGCACTGGACACTGCCCCAGCCCGTGCTGCCAGCGGCAGGGCCACTGCCAGCCTTGACGGGCTGGTGATGTGGACAGATGTCTGCTAGGACTGGGAATGAGGTCACCAGACTCACTTGACTTGTGGCTGAAGACTGATGATAGAGTTCAGGTACCCAGAAGATGAAAGGATATTATGTTTACTCACTGAACCACCCACTCACTAAAAAACCAAGCCCTAGCCCAGACACACATTTTCCCTAACCAAGGACAGGACAGGGAAAAGGAAAGCAAGGTAATTCTTAAAAACTGAATGAATTCTCTTGGTTTCATAGGTTATTGCCTTGAATACACATGGCACATACTAGAAGCTATATTTTCAAAACCTGAAACACCTACCTAAGCAGCTGTGCCAATTTTGAGGTATTCACATTAATGTACAAATGGGGGGGGGGGAAGAGCAGAATGTCATTAACATTAGCCAATAAGCCAATACAAAAGGGATCTTTTAATTTGCAAAATTATTTCTGGTCATTTACAAACACAGAAAAACCAAGATGGACGATTGTTCCTTTTCGGCAAGAGAGAGGGTCATCAATCCACCATGAAAAATTTAGGCAAGGAAAACTTCTGGTCTCTCTGCTGACTATTTCTTGCAGTGCCTGACTTATAAAAAGTTATACAGTTCAGATCCTCAGAAAGAGTTCTGTCCCTCCTACAGGGTACCAAAGAGTTTCTAAATAAAAAGGTATTTAAAATACCTTTCACCTTCCAAGATCTGCTAACACTCTACAACAGGTCCCTGAAGAGAAACATTTGGGCAAGTCCCATATGTACAAATTCAATCACCAGTAAGACCTACCCTTCTACAAGTATGAAAACAAGAGTTCATAGAGATCAATTTATTGAGAACTGGACTACTTACTAGGACCACTCGAAAAAAACCCACATTTTCTAAACATGAAGAATCAAAGATAAAAAAATTTGAAGTCTTTCAAACTCCACAAGAACTGGAGTCATTACAACACCAGAGAATATAATGCAAGCTTATCAGTTAACAAGGAGGAGGAATTTAGTTGAAATAAGGTGTAAGACAGATGTAACAGCTTATATAAAGCAGCTATGACCTAAAAGCATCATCCAAAAGACTGTAAAGCGTGAAATGAAATTTAAAAGATAATTTAAAATTTGTTTTTCCACTTACTATTAGTTCGTAACATCCATTTCAAGTGGTTAATTTTATTGGATACACACACATTAGCAAGCAGTTGAAGAACTCCATGGAAACATTAAATACAGGAGCAAAACTAAGCAGTACTGCAATCGCTGATGAGAAGAGACAGGTGATGTTGAATGCCCCTCATCAAGGACAAACCAATCACCAGCTCAAAACAGATGAAAAAGTGGCAGCATAACAAACAACTCCTAAGACATCTGAACATATCTAGCTTTCTGTTTCTAAGTTGGAGGCTCTAAAATCATTACTGTCCTCCCTTCACTTCTCTCTTCCTCATCTACAAGTTTGTGCACAAAGCAACCAAAACCAGACATGCTCTGAACCACACTTTGTAATGCATATAACAGCTGCATGACTTTAAAGTAAAGTTCTCGTGTACTATATGAAGTTTCCTTGGTGGACAAAAACCCCACATCCTCCCCTGTTGATTATCTTCTATCACCAACAACTGTTAAATATATTAAAAAATATCAACTAAATTTTAAACACAGGAGAAAGTTTGGGTTTGTTGTCCACCCCCACCCCTGTCCCTGAGAATGAAGCACCTATAAATTTCATAGAAATAATCCACAAGCAGGAGAGAGCTCACCTGAAGATACAGTAGACCAGACTTGACAGCAAGGGAATCTTATAAATATACCAACTATAAGAAAAGCTTCAGTCAGATCCTACAATCAGCAAGATAATTGCATCAGAAATCAGATGATGTTAATCCTGACAGCTATAGCGCTACTGGTTTAAGAGGTTTATATCCTGACATGGGGAAGACCAAAGCCAGCTCTAGTTTAAATCAGTGGATTTAATTTTACATACAGTGCTCAAACCCAGAATTCAAACACCTGAATGCCAAGACTTTGTGCTGCTGCAGCAGCATTGAAACCACAGGTCTCCAAACCTCATGACACAGGGTAATATGTTATTTGCTAGACACCATCCTTTGAGGCACGTCCACTGCATGTCACAAGCATCACTTTAGGTTGAAAGGGAACGCCAGGGTTAGGGTCTTTCTTCCCTGTGGTTCATTATCTGGTTTTTATTATTAGCCACATAGGAGTCTAGATGGAAATGCAGATCTCAGTATTTCAAAAATCTGGAATTTAAGGAAAATAGTATGTTCCATGTTAATACAGCTGAAATAACCCTTACTAAAGAAATTTCTCTTATCTTAACATAAAACAAAGAGCGCCAGCAGCACTAAACAGATGAATTTTCAAGAAACAGCATCATACTTGGGTTGTCTAATGCTTAATAAAGTGAAAGTTGAACTTCTCACAGATGAAGCATTTATATTCTTCCCTCTCTCCTGCACAGACGTCTGTCATCTAACAGTAGGTCTACGCCACAGATTTGATGTTTTTCTCCTCTCTGACATAAAAGTTCCCACAAAATTTATGCCTCAGATCTCTACTGTCAAATTTGGTTAAAATTAGACGATTAAAAAGAGAGAGGGAAAAAGATGTTTTTCTTAAGTATATTTTCATCAGAAAGCAGGTTACTAGGCAGTAGCATTAGGACTGTGAGCTCACACTAAAGAAAAAAATATCCCTCAGGAAAAACAAAACCAAGAACTCAAACTGAGAAGAAATACAGCTTTCCCACTACAGCAACACAGCCAGCAGCAAACAGGGCTGGAATTCTTCATCATTATATTCCTGAGACTGAAAGCTCTCTTAAAGACAGATTGTCAACTTGTGACCAGTGTAATCAGCCAATGCAAAGTCCCTTCACGTCTGCGCGAGGCGAATAATTATCATAATAGACATTAGTAATTAATTTCCGGCGTGATGTCAGCTGGTGCAGCAATGCCAAGCGAGCGTCCTTGTCAAACACACCCCAGCCGTCTGGACGACTTCAGTCCCATCTCCCTGATTAGGATGCGCACTGATGCACTGCTTAATACAATCTGCCATCAAATGCCAAATAGTTCAGAACTAAATTAGGAAATATGTCCGGCTTTACAGAGTGATGCTCGGGGGCCTAAGTAGATTTCTCTATTCCTTTAAGAGGCACAAAGGTGATCACCAATATAATGCCCCCGAATGAGGCAATTTTACCTTCTAACCTCCCACCTCTGTAGGGAAAAGAATTGGATTAGGACAGCAAAGGAATTAATAAAGACACCATGGCCTCGCAGCATCTCTCAACCCTAGAGGTATTTATGGTGGCCTCAGCATCTCCCTAGTGAATGTGAATTTTAAGGGGAAATTAGATGCAGCTGGACACATTTGTTCCTAACACAGAGGTAGTCCTAAATAAAGCTTTCCTGTTCCAGTCACTTGCCAAAGAAAATGCTGCATTTATACACTACTGATCACAGCTGCTTTCATCTGGGTGCTCACCTCCTGTTTCTTTCTCCACCTGCCTGAAGCACTCTCCTTCCCTCATTGCTGATAGCCCATCACATGCCTGAAGTATAACCACAAAAAATGGAATGAAGTTAGGGCGTGGAAAAGCTAGACAAGATGCAGGAAAGGGAGAGAAACTCATCTTAAGGCATCTGGAAACAGGCTGTTTTACAGTTTGGTCCCTGCCCTAGAGTGGGCTGTGTCCAGGAGCTGGCTGCTCCCTGAGATCTCAGATAGGATTCTGAGCTCCCCCAGGTACAAATTATTTATGCTACTTATTTGGGTCTGCAAACCCCAGAGAGCCCCTCCTGCAAGCAGAGAAGTTTGAGATGAGCTGCATTAGAAGTGTGCCTCAGCCACGAGTCTTCAGATGGATTACAAAAACAGTCCGGTTTTGATAGACAATGCCACTGCTAAAATGTGCTGATGAAAGCAGCAGACTGTGTCACAGGGGGCCTCAAAACTGTAATTACCACTTAGCTTCCTTTAATACCACAATCACACCATCCTCACCAAATTGGAAGTAACTTAGTTCAAATAGCCAAGTGCACAAAAAAAAAAAGAAGCATCCTCTTAAGATTGCATATTTGCACGTACAAGGCTTGACACACTGCTCAGGATGCCCTCATCAGAAAGGCTGAGGGGTTTTATGTTTTTTGAGGTGTGTCCCCCTAGGGGGCCACTGACACAACATACATCCCAACGAGCTGGGACTCGCCGAGGAGCAGAGAATGCCAAGTATCTACAGTGAGCCCAGTTAGCCGAACAATAATCCCTTACTTCAGCCCACCAGAAAACTAATAGAACCATCAGATTATTGCATTAAAAGAATGTTTTCCCTTTACTGTCAAATGCTGAATAGTGGGGAAGTAAATGGTCAGCAGCATTAACCCTTTTTTCCTTTGTTAACTATGAAGGTATAAAAATCTTACCAAAAAAAAATTTCAGTACCTGATTGGGCTCATTCAATAACCAGCCAAAGGTTTTGACCCCAAAGGCTGCTTCATGAGCAGACACATCAAGACATGTAACAGGCTGACCATAGACAGAATGGAGAATTTTGCCAGGATCTTCTACTTTCAGGAGATAAACGACATCTTCTGCAGCTGCTATTGTCACTGGACTCCCCGTAACATCTGGAACCAGATTAAGGAAGTTGACCTAAAAAAAGCAGACTTTAAATTTTTATTACATCCAAAAATTCTATGACCTCACTACTGACACACACTAAACTGAACAAGCTACTGATGTGGTTATCTGTCATCTGGAATCATCATAATTATGGATTATTTCAGACAAAGACCGAGTATCAATTTTATTTCTGAACTTTTGCAAGCTTAGCTCCTATAATGAAATCTAGCTCACAGTCTTTAAAATGAGCCCATTAAAAAAAACTAATCACAACACATTACAACAGAATAAACCAAAATGTCACATCAAAGAAAGGAGCGAGACTTAATGGGTTCATTCACATGAAGGACAGAAAGCCATATGGTTAAAACACATAAAGCAAGTATCATTGCTAGAATGTGAATACAGTGAGCCAGAAGAGACAACACATTCATGCAACTACTATGAAATAGTTGATGCTTACCCTGCAAACACGTATATATACCCTAAATTAACAGAAAAGTCACCACATGACTCTAGGACAGCCCAAATATCAGCTCCCCTATCCTCTGTCACAAGACTGGAATACCATTGCTCTTCCCATTTCAGTAAATGGTTAAGATGCTGCTGAAAAGTCTCACCGTGGGAAGGGTTTAAACTCTTTAACACCACAGCTGATTTCTAACCCAACCTTAGAAGAGAGTGTGCTGTCCTGACTGTCTTTCACACATGACAAACTGACATTTCACAGCAAGATGCAAGAGTAAAATGGATCCAACTATAATGGAGCGTGCGGTGGTGTTTTATCATTTTTACTTGGAAACCTCTTAAAATGTTTGGGGAGTTTGTTTATTTAAGCACTGCGAGACTGACTTAGCTTTTATAGAGGGGATTAATCAGGAGTGGTTTAAATCACAACTTCACACCCCTTAGCTGTGCAGTCAGCTTCCTACAACAGGAGAGAAGCTGCAAGACTCAAGTTATCCCTATGCATTTCCTTCTCCTTTCAGAAAAAATGTTGATACTCAGACACATAATAAAACTTCAGAGAATAGGACAGTTTTTGCTTTTTAATTAAAATAGTCTCAAAACTTCAGTGACAGAAGGTGCAACCTGAAGAAGCTGCACAACTAGTTACAGCTTCACAAGTGGTACTATTAGCTCGTCTGCAATATCCTGCCTCAGAATTAATCAGATAGCGTTGATCTGGAATGAGACCTTGAGTTTTAGCTCCAATTCTACGCGAGAAAACTGATTTACAAAATGAGCCAACTTAGTTTAATGTTGACAAAAAAATAATTAAAAACAGCCAACCTCCTGCACCATATGGACTTCTATTCATTTTCACTTGTAGCTTAAGCCAGCATTTCACCCTTGCTCTTCAGTGATGAAAGGCTCATCCATTAACCTGCTTCAAAATCATAGCCTCTAGCTGAAAAAGCTGTTATCTAGTTCAGACAACACTCTTGTAAGATTTTTATAAGATTCCTCTCAACTGTACCAAAAATAATTAGTGGATCAGGAGCTCCAAGAAAGCAGCTGAGTAGCCTGGAGACTCACCAATTTCTGGATTTCAAATGTTTCTGTGGTTTGCCAGAATCCTCTGTCATTAGGGCTTTCCACTTTGACCTCAAAGCCAGATGCTGTTGCTACTGTTGCACCCTCTGAACCAAGAGCTAAAGCCTGTATCCTCTGATTGTGCTGGTAATGATGGATTGGCTCCCGCCCGAACATCAGGTTCCAAATGCTAACGGTTCCTGCATGCAAAAAAAATAATCACTATGTGTTATCTTTGACTTTAACAAAACTTTAAAATATTGGTTAAAGATGTAAGCTTAAAAGCATTCTAATGGAAAAAGTTAACATACAGAAGAGACTGCAGGGCAGGAAACCAGAACTTCAGGATGCTGCACAGCATCACCTATGATGTTCAGAGGAAACCTTCCAAAATTATGTGCTCTGGCGTTAGAGGCTCTGTTGTTCTCTAATTCCCAATTTTTGACTTTCAGATAGCATTGGTATCTAACCTTGAGGAAGACTCCTTGATTTCTCTCACATTTCCATGTTTGGAGAAGATGAGACTTAAACTGATGCTAAATTCTTGTCCTACTATATACTTGCCCTCAATTACCACAACAAATAGTGAGGAAGAGCCCACATTCACATTTAAGTCACTCCACTGCACACAGAAAAGTTTTAAAGCAAAGAATCTGAAGCTCTGCACACACAGCAATCAGGTCAGGGATTTTAATACCATTCTTAACAGTTTACAACCAGCAGCAAAGCTCCTAATCCCGATGCTCTGGGAAAACAGAAAATGCAGAAGAGTTCAAAAAGCTAAATAATACAAATCCCAAACAATACAGGACAATACATTTGCAATTGCATTTTTTCCCCCCGCACAGATCACTGATACTCAATTTAAAAGCAGGGTACATTAAAGCAATAATCTGAATAAGAACAACCTGAAGCAATCAGGAGCATATTACAGAACAGAAGGGCCAGACGGAATAGGAGACTTCTGGGCCACCTTTGCACTGAATTAACGGAGAAGCAATCTTCTGATGTGATAGACAGGGCTGGAGAAACCTTCCTTCTACTTGAGCATGGCCATTAATGATGAAATGATTAATGGTAGCTATTCCTTCAAAAGGAGACATAAAAGCTCTGACAGACAGCTGTGGACGGGCACCAATGCCAGTCTGCAAACACTCCTCCCATGTCCCAAAGGAGGTGAAGCAAGAGTGTGGTAATGAAACTGCACATAGTGAAATGGTATCTAAATGAGTTTAAATTGATTTATGTTTGCTTTTGTAAAGATTATTTGGTATCTGGAAAGTGCTACCAATGTGAAATAATGCAGATAATCCTTAAGATCCCTGTCTAATGGCACTCCCACTGAATATTTATATTCCTCGCCATGGGAATGAGAACCATAATGGGGACCATTTTTGTTTTATTAGGGATGCATATTTAAATTAATCTGCTATTTGCCTAAACAATTAGCCGCCTCTGTTTGTTTACACAAAGCCAAAACTGCAATTAGGCTTCCATCAAAAAGATAAGTCCCGACTAAAACTGTCCCGATGGAGTCATAAGGGCTCAGAGCAGAACTTCCCAAAATTACTTCTTAGCATAATGGTAATTATGTTAATTGCTTAAAAGGTAAATAACTGCTGAACTGGTTTTGAAAAACAGAATGCTAGCTTGCATCACACACACTTATGCTTAAAACAAGTTAACAAATACAAATGGGCAGCACAGGCTACAATTCCCTCTGCAGCCTGATCTGGCCCTCACGAAAGCTTAGCAGCAGCACTTCTGTGCCTTCACAGGCGTCCAAACTAAAACAAAGGGAATAGGTGAAGTGTCAACTCCAGGACATCTGATTTAAACAAGCAAACACACAAACATCAATGGTAAAAGACTGTAGTGATATCAGATCACGCATGTTAGAACTGGACTTTTTCATCAGAAGATGAATATTGCTGCCAAGATCCTCCAGGCAGGAGTATTTTCGACTTTTTTTGGAGAACATTTACCCCCAATTGAAGACCACTTTTGTGATGGGGGAAAGGAAGCTGATTTGCTTTCAAGTGAAGTCTTTGTTTACACATCTCTGTGATGAGCATCCCACTGTTTTTAGCAGAGTATATTAAAGTATGAAAGTTCTGCAAAATACAAAAAAATACTCATGTCGAAGAACCCTCTTGTGACCATGTGAGCAAACTGGGAAACCCAGAACTCAGAGTTCTGATGTCTAAATCTGGGCAAAGCCACTATTATTATTATTATTATTATTGTTATTATTATCGCATCTCAAACATTATAAAAAAAGAAGACAGTGAGAATGGCTTATGCAATAGTACAATCAATTTGAGACAGGTACTTTTTTACTAGATGTTCAGTAGGAAAATATGTTCTAAGTGTCTACAAATTTTAACAGGAAAATGCAGTGTGTGTAACATCTGATGCACAATATGGTGTGAAAACATCCCTGGTAATATCAAAACCACAAGTGACTTGTAAGGTCATAAATTAACATATGTTTAATGAAAGAACACAATATAAGGAGTAAAAAGATTTCAAATGGAATGCAAAGAGCAAGAAAAATACCATTTTCTTTTATTAGGATGAACAAATAGTTGCTTGCAAAAGTATTGCTTGTCCCCTTTGCTTCTCGCCTCCTCCAAAAGAGTGTACAAGTCTGTATGTACATCCTCCATCATCTGTTACTTGCTATCAGTCAGAAACGTCAATCACTGCGTGCAAGGACCTTCTGTGGAAATGCACTACTGTCAAAAAAAGGTATATGCATTCATGCATGACAGCAAGAAAACATTTTCAAGTTCTACACAGAAAAAGCAAACACTCCACTGTGTTTATCAATAGGTAAAGCTACCATTAGGTCTAAAAGTGTACTCAGAATATTCTGTATTTCATTGCAAGAACAGCAAAATGTATTTATTAGCGTGCAAGCCTTTGCAACAGTCAATTATGTTTGTGTAAGAGCAAAAAAAAGCCACCATTACTATTAAAAGTTATTAGTATGGCAACATAAAAAAAATTAGGGATAAGATTTACCAGTGCAGATGAGATCACTACTTTATATAGTCTATCTTCCTGCCTCCAGCAGTGACCAGTACTTCATTTCCAAAGCAATATCTTTAAGGTGAAGTTAAGGTTGCAAGCATACAGTTATCTTTTTTTTTTTTTTTTGAATACCACAATCTCAAAAGTGTTCAAATCATTAAATCACAATTATAAGTAATACTTTTAGCATGCTGTGAAATCTACACCACAATTGTGATTATTTGAACTGAACTAACAATAACTCCTCAAACCGATTTAGGCTTTACAGCTTGCTTATATTTCATCTTGGCTCAAGGAAATGAGTTAAGTGCAAGAAGCTGATGAAGATGGTATAATTGCTGACACCTGACATTACAATCACTGGACCGGTCTTGTTTATCACTTCAGCCTGGATTGCACAAAGAATTCAGGTTTGTAACTTCTAACCCAATATACTGTTGAAATGTGGCCTGATGAAAGGTCCATTTATTGCAATTCATTCTAGATTGTAAGGTATTTGGATAAAACATTTAGCCATGAGACTATTATGCACTGCTGATCCTGACTATACTCCAATTTTAGGAAGCATCAGCCAGTCTTACACATCTCTTGCTATATCAAAGGTGAATGGCTGGAAGCTGTTCTCCATTAACAGTGCCTGTCTCCAGTATAGTCCCCTCTTTGCAGCTGGGAACACAAAAGACATCCTGTAAAGGCAGCTGGTTTTTACATGTTTTCAATAGGTTTCTCTCTGATATAAAAGGCAACACATTTGCCACAAATAAAAAAAGGTATCTCTTCTCTAATAAATATTCTAATCCTGTAGCAGGGAAAACACAGAGGCAAAAAATGTTAAATCACATTTGTGAATATTACACTGGCTGTGTTTGCCAGCGTAACGCAGCATGTCACAGCTCCTTCCAAGAGCTAGTAGCCACAGCAGAGGACAGGACAGCTGCCCACGCCTCCTACCCTTGTGCTAAGCAGAGGGCAGGCTGTGTTTTGGTGTGGAAGATCCTACACTCAAATCCTAATGATGCATTACATCAGCTCTTCTGTGTTAGGATGATACAGCTAGCAGTTGCTGTCAGCTTCAGAGAAGATGTAAAGCAATCTACGTGTGCGTTATCGGAACAAAAAGACAGAATTTTGTATATGTTAGTGCAGAGAATCTGGACATGCTCACGGTTTTCATGCTCATTCACTTCAGCTTCTAAACACAATTGTGTGGGAAGGCCAGAAGCTGCTTAATTCACATCATCTACAGGATGTTTTCCCTATTTGTGGGTCACAGTCTTGCCACTTCTATCTTGATTCTTTTTCACCTTTTGAAAACAATTCCTACATTTATTTCTTTCCTCCAAGCTGGGCACATTAATTAATTTCCTTATAATTTTCAGATAACATCATACTTCTATGAAGTACAAACAGTACATGAAATATACTGGTGGAAATGAGCACCAGCCTACAGTCTTAAGACTTATCTTGAATTTCAAGTTTCTCCCAAAAAACATTTCCAGTCAGAGGGACCACCAATATACAGCCAATTTAACCATAATGGTGAGTTGGTGTTCATTAACTAAAATTTTACATTTAATTTTCACTGCAATGGTGTTTCTCAGCTTTCAGTGGGTACAGCAAGCTACATACCACACTAAACAGCGAGAGTCTAGACCTTAGTTGTAAGAGTTGTGCCTTTACATTACCATTACCGCATCAGTTTCCACCAAACGTCAGGTTTTATCCCTACCACTCTTACAGAGTTTTCCAAATGACATCATCCCTGTACAGTCCCTCAGAAAAGGCACAGACAAGAAAGTCTGTATTTTGCTCCCAGCTTGGGGACTCAAGAGGCAGAATTCCCTGACCGTGATGTGAAATCACACCCCATTTACTCAAGAGTTTTGCATCCTCAGCCACCTGTATGTATCTGACAGGAATAATACACTACCACCTGCTACATGCTGTTTTCTTCAAAAACTTTTTCCTTTCTTCCAGCCAGTCTGTTTCCTTGCTCTGGCTACCTTACAGCATGTCCTGGCACTTGGGGGAAGGCACCAAACACATTACTCCATTTCTGTCTTTGCAAAGAGGGTACAGAAGGGACAATACCTGCAAGCAGCTTTAAGGGCATCAGAATGGACAAGACAGCAGATTTCCAGTCCCAAAGTAGCATTGCCAAAATTCCCTTCCTGGAGCCTGCCAACAAGCAAGAGCCCTTCTGATCCCTGCAGAAACCACCTTCCTTTGCTCCATGTTGCTACTCTGCAACTTGTGAAGTACCACTAACTGTTCCCAATGGGTCTCAAAGCACTACCATGAACAGCAGCAATGCAGCATCCCCCTGCCATGTCTACACAAGTATGAAAAAAAAAAAAAAGTAGTATGTTCTCTTGTTGCAGCACATTGTTTTTAAGTCAAATTATGAGACTCTGGAGGGCGGGAGGGGGAGAGTGATGGCTAAAGTAGACTGCTGTTTCCCAAAAGCTGTGGCTCATAGCCAAAGTCAGGCAAGCATGGAGCAGATGGAGTCCTGGCAAGGCCTCTACTGTCCCTGCATTAGCAGCATCTGCTCATTACCCAGAACCCTCGCCTGCTTTATCTAATGCTCCAGGAAAAGCATTTTGATTTGATTCATTTCAGTTCGGTAACGTGCAACACAATTAGTGGTAAAATCAAACTGGAGGACTGCCAGTGCTGACAATAGGAAACAAGGCAGAAGAAATATGAGGCCAGTGGGTTGGAATTCAAAAATCACAACTGTGGATCAAGTTGCCAAGTCCTGTTGCCCCAGGTGTACATACAGTGCCCCTACTGAGTGTTGGCATGGGTGGAAGGAACTTCATTTTCTCCCCATACATTTTTCTCTCATTTACCTCTCCTTGCTGCTTGTTTCTCAGAGGCTAACACCGTTGGAAACAGTCACCAGAAGTCACAATTCAATTTTTCTTTAGTGCCATCATGGAGTTACAATTCACTTTGGATGCAGGCATCCCAGTAAGACAAATCTTTCTCCTTGCTATATTTCATATGCCTTGGGAAGTATTTGCTACTACCAAACCAGCAAAACAGCGCTGTAAGGCAGGCACGGCACGAGCAGAATCTGCCTGTTAGTTCTTCCCTGTGATCGGGTGCCAAGGACATCGCTGCGTGAGCTCTGTTGAACTGGGAGAAACTGATGTTATCTGAACGAGTCTGCTAGCCAGGGATTCGACAGAGAAGTCTAGACTCTTTGCCTGACAGCACCACCTCCAACACTAGCAGATGGTTTCTCTGTGTTAGTCAAACTTACAAACAAAGAGAAAAGGGAGCTGGAAAAGTACAACAAAGAACAATCAAACACATTAGCTTCAAAGTCATCCTTTCACACCCCCCCAAGTTTAAAATAATTCTCTCCACCAAACAGTAAATATATACTTTCAGATTCCAGTGAGTAAACATTTCTAAAATCAGTCTTTGTAATACCCTATTCACACTGAACCTAATCTATTCTGACCACGCTTCTCAAATGAGAGTAACTGCCATATCACAGAGCCCATTACAATTTCTACCCAAAAGAATAAAAGACGCCAAGCTTTACGCAAACTAGTTTAGTCACGGCACACACAGGACTGACAATGAGGAATATGACAACCCCCCGACTCCCCCATAGACAAATTATTAGATTAGCCAGTGGGAGACTAGAAAACAAACAAAAGGCCCTCTGCTAGTCACTGTTTAGCACACTGGACAAAAAGCCAACCCTAAAAACTATCACTGTGTTATAATTTCCTATGACTTGGGTAAATAATATTAATGAGTATTCTGTAATACCAGACTTGCTGTTGTCAGAAAACGTTGCCTATCAACTATTTTTAGCCACAGAAAACCGTTCTAGCATGATATAGAAAAACAGCTAAGGATGTTGGTCACCTTAAAACAGTTGTTTTCAAATATTAAGCATTTTATTTACTTCTAAAATAAAATATATGGGTTAGAGATTTTGTTTAGATTAGCCATCTTCGATTTTGTTTTCATGTGCAGAAATGCCAGGATCAAAGACAGTATGAGTACAAAGCTCCCTAACTTTGAAAATACTCTTTATTCATACCCGAGGAGAGGTTTTTAAGTATCAAATCATACATTTTAAAGAAAGATGACAGGAGTAGAGTTCTGCCTGAGCAACTCAGCCTAGGATCCCAACTGGCCAGCACTGTCCAAACCTGACTTTTAATTGCTGCTCCCACATCCAGTAGATGTACAGTTGGTCTATGACTCTTGTTGCCCGTTCTATAAACATCTAAGTATATTTAAAACAATGCATATAATCAGGATTTTATTAGGGGTTCATTAAATATTAGGTCACAGTTTTTATTTCTCTATATCGAAGTATATAATAACCCACCACTGTAAACCAGTACTTCAGTTAAGAAATTGTGCATCCATACACTATGCCAAAAGCAAGAGAGGACGCAGATTAATCAGACATGCAAGTTTACCAGTATTCCCATAACAAAACTTCACAGCACCCCAAGGGAGTTTTGGACAGAGAAGGCTGGTGGAAGAATATTTAATATTTTTATAGCAAAACAAGTTATTTGCTTAAGATAGTTTGGCTGGACTACAGCCTGGCACTCAAGCTTTGTGTAGCAGTTCCAGTAGGAATTAAACATCAGTTTTAATGGCTGCTATGTTCCAATGCCTCCTAATGCATTTAGGGTTATTGGCCAACTTTCTCACAAAAAAAGCAAGTGTGTGCATGTGTGTGTGTATACAGGATTACAGACACACAAAAAGCTGAGCACAGCTGCTTCATTTTTGTAAAGCTTTTTTTTTTTTTTTTTTTTTTTTTGTGGTTACTTACCGTCCTCGTAAGCTGCTACAGCCAGAGAGCTGTTTATCCTCACAAAGGAGACATGTGGCCGAGGTCCAGCATCACCAGGACCATGCACTGGTTCCAGGATGGGGGCTGTGTAGTCCCAGGTGCGAGTGTCCCACAACCTCACTTCTCCTGAAGTGTATCTGGAAAAGAGGGCTATTATTCATCCCAAAACATCCTAAAAGAGGTAGCTGCAAGAAAATGGAGGAAAAAACAGAAAGTATCATAAAACCTAAAAGCATTTACAGCTCCTAGACTGATTCTCCTCCTGTTTACACACTCGGTTTACACATTCTGCGCACAAGCCCATCAACTTTCTGCATTTTATTCCCATTTACTGAATGTACCATCAAGTCTACTAAGACAGGGAGGTAAATTTGAGCTATAAAAACAACACGATTGAGCTACCATAGATTACCAACTATAGATTTAGAACTAGAATGCAAGGAGAGCCAGGCTCAAGGGAAAAAAGGTAATCACTAACGAGTCTAAATTACATCATGGCAAAACTTCAAACTGTTTCTTTTCAGTCTTTAAAAATTGGTGATTGTGGTTGTGCCAAGCAGAGGCTGTTTAATCAGAGGATTTATGTACGTACATACAAGCACTCACACACATACCCCATCCAGCCTACTGCTCTTTATAGGATCTTCTTAATGCCTCATCAACAGATCAGATTTGCCTACATCTCTGAAGACTAATTCATTAATACAATTAAGTGTTTTCATTAGAATTAAGGCAGTGCTGCCTTCTTTGCAGAAGACTCACTGAAACATCAGAGTAACCATAGTTTAACATCAAACTATAGTTTGCCAGTAAGAAAATTAAAAAAATAAAACTAAACTTCTCAGGTAATACTGAATATATTTAAATGAGTGAAGGATGTTACACAGTAAGCAACACAAACTACGCTGTGCCAATCAACACACTATTGAAAAACAATACTGCAGGCAAAGTAGAGAAGCTCCCTCTACAACTGGTCAAAGAACATAGTTCAATAGCTACTTGGAATAGTTCAATAATTAAGATGTTTTGATAGAACTGTGACAATTAACACTGTCAAACAGTCTCAGATGTCTTTCACTGCCATAGCTAAGACTTGGATTCTGCTGGAAAATGAAGGGTGCTTCCTGCTCTGTCAGCTTTGTTGTTACATCCTGACTTCTGGGGGAAAAGGATTTCAAAAGAATGATTCTTGTAAGCATCAAAGGTCTACTATTTTGAAATCTGGCTGTCCTATGTTCATGAGGAAAAGAAGAAAATAGTTATTTACAAAGGAGCTGAAGGAAACGGCTTAATAAAGGTTTAGAAGATATTGGACTTGGACTCAGGTTACCCAGTTCTTTGGGGAGTACCATGCAACGTGGTTACAGGTACTCATGAGTAGATTACTCCCAATACCTGAGTGAAAATGCTCCACTTTATAAAACTAATTAAAGTGCCTGAGGGGGCAGTGAAATCTGTCAAGTTAGAAAGAGATGCACCATTAATTCTCTGCACTGAATTGGGAAGAGAGAACAGTGTCCTTGTCAACTGGCTTCCTCTTCAGTTCTTTACATGGTAAAACAGAAGAAAATGAAGGAATAGGATGGGATAGCACTTCTCCCTTTTCTTTCTACAGATGAGGCCCAGATCCCTCTCTAAATCCTGCTTTCATTTCCAATTTACAGCAGCACTATTTAAGAAGAACAGATCAAGAAAGAAGCTTCCCCAAAGCAAAGCAAAATGTTTCATGTTGGATCGAACAAGCCCTTTAGATTAGCCCACCACAAATATATTCAGTTTACAAAACTGAAAGGTGCTCATTTTGGATACATTTTAAAGTTTAGACACAAACCACAATGGGCCAGGTGAAGTGCAGTCCCCTTCAACAAGAGACACTGGTATTTTTGAAACATTTTAATTTTGAGCTGCTTTTTGTTTCCCTTTATGTTTTGGTTGGTTGGGTTATGTTTTCAAGCTTCTCCTAACTGCAGAGTAGCAGATTACTCCAAAGGGTGAAGCCAAAATTCTCCTGTCACTGAATGACCCTAAAAGTGAGTTTTAAGGGAGACATAACATACTCACTCTCAAATAGTCCAGACTAGGAATGTAAAAAGGAAGACTAATAGATGGAGAAAACTGAACAACAGGAATAGAGAAGACACAGAGGGATGGCTAATTCTCTGAGTGCATGGCTTCTGGTTTTTCTCCATAGCATGAAACACAAGTGATCCAGGGCTCAAGATACGCTACCATCCATAAAAAAAATAACATGGACTGCAATCTTGGAATTAAAGATCCAACATCGCAGTACCACAAGAAGTGCTGAAATTTTCTCAGAATTCAACCAAGTCAAAATTTAGTGTGAACCATTCTTTGTTCCTGAAGAACCTGAACCACCCCTCTACAGCTAAGCTCAAACTGGAACAGAACCAGAATTGGAACACTGTCAGTCTGAAACAAATTTGACTCAAAATCTGATGTGTTTGTGCTGGGACCTGTTAAATGCAAGAACTGTCTCTACCTGGTAGGCTTGGCATCCGACCACCCTGTAGCCTCCTCATCCTCACTCCCTTCCTCTCCAGTGACCATAGATACATGTGGAAGAGCTCTCTCTTCTCTCCCATGAAGCCATGCTGCTCTCCCACCCCTAGCAAGGACCTGTTGAACACACGAGCTTGTTACGTGTTACCTCAGGTATGCTCTAGTGGGTTCAGATACTACAAAACAATCTGTAAGAGGATTCTGGCCATAGTGCTCATCCCAGTTCTGTCATGACAGAGAACGGGGAGCACTGTGTGTGCCAGAACTCTGCAAGCACCCACCACACCCTACCTTCATGTGTGTCTGTCCAGAAATCCCAGCAGTGCACTGCAAGATAGGACAAGTGTTTTATGCATATCAGGCAGAAGAGGGGAGTAAGGCATCATTTTTCCCCCATCACTCCCGTATCCTTCCTACCCCCATTTCTCACTCAGCACCACCACTCATCCTTCACAGTGCAGCATAACAACCAATCAGTCCCATGCGGCAAACCTAAAAGACTTGGAGAGATGTTACAAGAGCATGCTGGAAACGTAAGTGGAGGTCCAGGTATGGGCAGGAAACCAACATGGGGAAATGGGAGATATAAACCATCTCCTCAGCTGACAACATGCTCCGCTGGCCATCACCACTGCGTGCCCATTTCCAGCATACACCGAGCCTGTACCAGAACTGAACTGGAAGAATTTCAAACACAGATGAATCCAATTCAGAACTAAAAAATTTAATGGTTCAACTCCCTGCTTTTAATGCTATTGTAAAGAGCAACACACTTTCAATTTGTAACCACAACAAAAGGCTTTTAAACTATTAAAGCATTGCCTTGCTGTAAAAAAATAAAAAGGCTGCTTTATTGCAGATAATTGGCAAAACTGCCATATCAATATAGATGGCTGAAGAGAAGAACAAGCTGCACTTCACAGAACCGATTTCTAGATAACTTCAATATTTCTATTAATTTCCTACCACAACAACTTTTTACACTTCACCGTGAAAATTTAGTTTGGATTAGCAGCTACTGAAAGAACCCTAGATTTAAGTCTTCTGCCCTAGAACAGGAACAGTCCTCCAAACTCATTCAGCTACTGATTTTTCTATCAAGATGGCTATGAAAAGCTCACATAGCTTTCTGCTGGAGTAAAAACAAACAAAAAAAACCCCCTTTCTGTTTAATATAACAATGAATACATTCCATTTGCTATAATACCAATAGCTGCTTTTTTCCCCCTGGTGGGTATAATGAGATGATTATTGCAGTGGCAGGTAAATATTCCTAACATCTAACATAAGTCACTTGCACAAAAAAAACTCACCACCAACCCCAAACCCTACAAATTCTGAGAGACCATACCTGACTTAGTTCATTCAGAAAGGCTGTTCAAAGTCTTGCTTGCCTAAGCACAACAGGGAGCAACAAGACGACTGTTGCTTACATCCCCAAGTTTCTCCCTCTCCAGATAATGCCCTGCCCTGACACCTTCCAAGGTGTTACATCCACACAGCGCCTGGCGTTCAGCTCCTGGTTTGTGTGCTTCTCTCCCTATTCAATGGACAGTCACCCTGCTCTTAGTGCTCAACAGAGACTCTCCACCAAGTAACTGAGCTTCTCTGATGGACTTGCATTTCACTTTGCACTTGTTCTTCTGAACACTTCAGCATCTACACAGAAGTAGCAGCAGAAGAAAGACAAGAGCTATATTTTTCTAGCTATACTTCTCCTTGACAAGCCAGTTCTGTAACTCTGGACAGATCTGTATACATTTGTAAAAATTAGTCTGCAAATTCAGCTTAAGCTTTACAGATATGCCTAAAAAACCTGCTGAAATGGAGCAACAATGGGTGGAATGCATATGGTATAGAGAAACTGAAAAAAATTAAATTCATATGGTATCTACAAACCTACTTACTAATCAAAAGCATTTCAACTACTTTTTATGGGCAGTAATGTCATGAGATGAACAATTTCCTTGTGCCCTCTCATGAGTGAAAGCAGAAGTCTGAAGGAGAAGGAGCTGGGGGTTAAAAGCTGCTCATGTCCCACGATGGCTGGGAAGCAGGTGGTGAAGTGCAGGGCACATGTGGGAGGAAGCAGAGATGGAGGCTGGGCATTGCTCTAATGAAGTGGTGCTGAAGAGGCAGACGATTTCATAAGGAGAAAAACATCAGGAAACTGGTCAAAACACAGATCTCATCTGAAAAAGCTCAACTGTGTTGGATAGCAATAGCCAGAACAAATTTGGGGAAGAGGAGGAGGGGGAGGCTGATCTCTCTCCAGAGCCCCAGATGTCTTTATCGTTGCCTAATGACAATTATACTCAACCAATTAAGACACTGCTATCACAGTTGCATTGTTAGTAAGCCTTTGGCCCTGAGTGTTGATGGCTGTCTAATTAGTGTTTGTGCAAAGTACAACTGCAACTAATATATAAACTGACAAATACACAAAAGAAAAACTGTTAACAGGAACATTTTCAAAACAGTTGAGACTCCACTCATTCAGTCCATGGCAGCAGCAAAGACAAACTGCTTTCCTTGATGGCTTGCTTACTGCTGGCACTGCAGAATTTCACTTCAAACAAGCAGGTCAACCAGACTGTCGCTGGGTTTCTCTTCAAAC